TAGGAAATTATATAAAAAAATTTTTGTTCCAACTACAAATATTTTATTATGCATAGAAATCCACAGGCTAACGAGGTTCATTAAAACGAAGAAAGCTTTAAGGTGTTTTTTTTATATAATTGTAATAAGTTAAATTCTACGCGTATATTTTTAAATTACGGTCCATTGTATCTATTATAAACTTGATATTTCTCAATTAATTATTCACCTACAACAGTCATGATAATGTAAGTGTGATTTTGAATCCTCGTTAAAGATCGCGTAGGTAGAGGATATGAACTCGTTTTGGAAAATGATGCGGAAAGCTGAATGATATTTTTAGCTATCGTATTTGTTCAGGAAGCAACAAACTGCATGAGCTATTCTTAGTCACGGGAAAATTTTCTGAAAAGCGTGATCGTTCCGAGAACGAGACAAAGATCCGCGAATGGATATTTCAGAAGGTCAAACGTCGTTGTTGGTTGGATAGCATTTTCAATTGTTTCTCGTTCATGTCGGAGAAATTCTTTTTTTAGATTGAATATAGCGAGGATAAAGCGTCGTACCGCGAGGAATCTTGGGACGTGATGAAAGATGCAGAGATACACATGGCGCGTTATTATTTTCGCGACAAGTAATTCGTAGCTGCGTGGACGTCGCGCGCTGAATCAGCTCTTTCCTTTGTCTACACGAAATTCGAAATCGTGGGCGTTGTTGCCAACAAGCCAAACTCTTCGGATTCGTGTTAAGCTCGATACCAATAACCTGACTCGATGCATGAACTGTATGAAACGTGATATTTCTATTTTTTCTTTTTTACCACTTTTCATACCATCCTGTATACTAGCGTTGTTTGTCAATAAATACTTTGTAAAAACCTGTTGGAACTGCTTTGATCGCTCGCACAAAGAACGTTTCAACCTGAAACGACTAATTTTTCGGCACACGTGTTAGAAAATTGCTCGTGCTAGCGGGAACTGAATTTTTTTTTCGTATCCAATTTCCAAAAAATGTATTTCTATATTGGCGTAATTGCTCGGGACGGAGGCATCCTTTAATAACAGGCAAACAGAGTATTTATTGATGCAATGCGACGCAACAGAGAATCGAGTTTATTCCATTTTCCAAGAGTCGTATACGTACCCACACAGAGAACTGTATATTAAACTCTCTCTCGCTTCGCCTCTTTCACCGAAACTTCAAAGCGACGGCATAAAATATATCCAAGATCCTTTCTTTCGTTCGAACGAAAAAATTGGTAAAAAAAAAATATAGGAAATCGAGGATAGGAAGAATGAGAAATAGTCGAACAAAGATGAACACGTCTGCCTTATTGGACAAGAGGTTGGTTACTCGTGGGAGAAACTTCTCATGGGTATCGAAGAAAGTTAAAAAAGTGCACAAAATACAAGATTCACACGCGACACGTGATCACCGATCCATTCGCGAACAACCAATTGTTTTTTTCGCGTAACTGCAAAGTGTAAGGCGGAATAGAAGACGATCGGGATAAATAGAAGACAGAAG